TGTTGTGTGCGTTAAGTTCGGCGGTGCAGCGGTGAGCGCTACGCTGCGCTACGAACCCGGCGACCCGAGTTCGATTCCTCGCTCACGGCCACCAACGCCGGTGACGATTATCTGAACCGGTGCTCGCCCCCCCCCCTAGGTCGACTCAAATGAGTACCTGGTGCGGTGTGTCAACATCGCCACTGGGGAGACAAAGGCGGCCGGGCGTGGTGTTGGTCACCAACCCCCTCGTGTGCCGCGCCGGCCTTCATAGGTGCTACTCGTTAACAGCACTTGCCCCTACAGTCTGTTGAGGCTATACGGGGGATCTTTGTCTTTGACTCGATTGGGAATCACAAAAGGGAACGTTGCCACTCCCCCCCCCCCCCCACCTTCCCACCCCCCCCCCCCCAACTGCTCAGAACAGTTGGCAGGGGCCGCCTGCTGGAAATGTGGCTTTCCTGCAGGAGGACGCGGAGCGGAAACGTCGACGCGATGTCCGAGCGGCGTGGACTGATGGCTCAGGCGCAGGGGACTCGTCTACTTACGAACACATCGACGCACGAACTTTCAGAGATACGAACAAACCCCGGGTCCGTATGTCCAGTTGCCTGTTCGGGACGATAGTCGTAAGTTCAACGGCCGCGCAATAGATGGTGGTGAGGGCATCTACATCTACATGAACCAGTGGCATCTACATCTGTAGAACGTGAAGAACCAGTGGCATCTACATCTGAAGAACGTGAAGAACCAGTGGCATCTACATCTGTAGAACGTGAAGAACCAGTGGCATCTACATCTGTAGAACGTGAAGAACCAGTGGCATCTACATCTATAGAACGTGAAGAACCAGTGGCATCTACATCTGTAGAACGTGAAGAACCAGTGGCATCTACATCTATAGAACGTGAAGAACCAGTGGCATCTACATCTATAGAACGTGAAGAACCAGTGGCATCTACATCTATAGAACGTGAAGAACCAGTGGCATCTACATCTGCATGAACGTGAAGAACCAGTGGCATCTACGTCTGCATGAACGTGAAGAACCAGTGGCATCTACATCTATAGAACGTGAAGAACCAGTGGCATCTACATCTATAGAACGTGAAGAACCAGTGGCATCTACATCTGTAGAACGTGAAGAACCAGTGGCATCTACATCTATAGAACGTGAAGAACCAGTGCATCTACATCTATAGAACGTGAAGAACCAGTGGCATCTACATCTGTAGAACGTGAAGAACCAGTGGCATCTACATCTATAGAACGTGAAGAACCAGTGGCATCTACATCTGTAGAACGTGAAGAACCAGTGGCATCTACATCTGTAGAACGTGAAGAACCAGTGGCATCTACATCTGTAGAACGTGAAGAACCAGTGGCATCTACATCTATAGAACGTGAAGAACCAGTGGCATCTACATCTGTAGAACGTGAAGAACCAGTGGCATCTACATCTGAAGAACGTGAAGAACCAGTGGCATCTACATCTGTAGAACGTGAAGAACCAGTGGCATCTACATCTGTAGAACGTGAAGAACCAGTGGCATCTACATCTATAGAACGTGAAGAACCAGTGGCATCTACATCTGTAGAACGTGAAGAACCAGTGGCATCTACATCTATAGAACGTGAAGAACCAGTGGCATCTACATCTATAGAACGTGAAGAACCAGTGGCATCTACATCTATAGAACGTGAAGAACCAGTGGCATCTACATCTGCATGAACGTGAAGAACCAGTGGCATCTACGTCTGCATGAACGTGAAGAACCAGTGGCATCTACATCTATAGAACGTGAAGAACCAGTGGCATCTACATCTATAGAACGTGAAGAACCAGTGGCATCTACATCTGTAGAACGTGAAGAACCAGTGGCATCTACATCTATAGAACGTGAAGAACCAGTGGCATCTACATCTATAGAACGTGAAGAACCAGTGGCATCTACATCTGTAGAACGTGAAGAACCAGTGGCATCTACATCTATAGAACGTGAAGAACCAGTGGCATCTACATCTATAGAACGTGAAGAACCAGTGGCATCTACATCTGTAGAAGGTGAAGAACCAGTGGCATCTACATCTATAGAACGTGAAGAACCAGTGGCATCTACATCTATAGAACGTGAAGAACCAGTGGCATCTACATCTGCATGAACGTGAAGAACCAGTGGCATCTACGTCTGCATGAACGTGAAGAACCAGTGGCATCTACATCTGCATGAACGTGAAGAACCAGTGGCATCTACATCTGCATGAACGTGAAGAACCAGTGGCATCTACATCTGCATGAACGTGAAGAACCAGTGGCATCTACACCTGCAGAACGTGAAGAACCGGTGGCATCTACATCTGCATGAACGTGAAGAACCAGTGGCATCTACATCTGCAGAACGTAAACAACCAGTGGCATATACATCTACAGAACGTGAAGAACCAGTGACATCTACATCTACAGAACGTGAAGAACCAGTGGCATCTACATCTGCAGAACGTGAAGAACCAGTGGCATTTAAATCTGCATGAAGTGAAGAACCAGTCATCTACGTCTGCATGAACGTGACGAACCAGTGGCATCTACATCTGCATGAACGTGAAAAACCAGTGGCATCTACATATGCATGAACGTGAAGAACCAGTGGCATCTACATCTGCAGAACGTGAATAACCAGTGGCAGCTACATCTGCATGAACGTGAAGAACCAGTGGCATCAACATTTGCATGAACGTGAAGAACCAATGGCATTACATCTGCATGAACGTGAAGAACCAGTGGCATCTACATATGTATGAACGTGAAGCACCAGTGGCATCTACATATGCATGAACGTGAAGAACCAGTGGCATCTACATCTGCATGAACGTGAAGAACCAGTGGCATCTACACCTGCAGAACGTGAAGAACCGGTGGCATCTACATCTGCATGAACGTGAAGAACCAGTGGCATCTACATCTGCAGAACGTAAAGAACCAGTGGCATATACATCTACAGAACGTGAAGAACCAGTGACATCTACATCTACAGAACGTGAAGAACCAGTGGCATCTACATCTGCAGAACGTGAAGAACCAGTGGTATCTAAATATGCATGAAGTGAAGAACCAGTGGCATCTACGTCTGCATGAACGTGACGAGCCAGTGGCATCTACATCTGCATGAACGTGAAAAACCAGTGGCATCTACATATGCATGAACGTGAATAACCAGTGGCAGCTACATATATATGAACGTGAAGAACCAGTGGCATCTACATCTGCATGAACATGAAGAACTAGTGGCATCTACGTCTGCATGAACGTGAAGAACCAGTGGCATTACATCTGCATGAACGTGAAGAACCAGTGGCATCTACATATGTATGAACGTGAAGAACCAGTGGCATCTACATATG